ACCATTTTCTGTAGCTGCTGGTTTTCTCTCTCAAGGCTGAGCAGCTTCGCACTCTGACTGGTGTCTGCATCAATGCTGGTTTTATGGAGTTCGTCTGCTTTTCTCCTCAACTCCTGATTCTCCCGTTCCAACTTCATCAGCTGGCCCGATGTCACTTCATTCACCTCGTCACTGAGGGGTCTCTGTGGAACTGCAAACAAACACCAGTGAGGAGCTTTATCCCCCATGCTGTCCCTGCCCAAGTGAGCTTTACTCTGTATCTAACTCCGTGCTGTCCCTGTCCCTGGGAGTGTTTGATGGGGGACAGTGCAGAGGGAGCTTTACTCTGCATCTAACCCCGTGCTGTCCCTGTCCTGGGAGTGTTTGATGGGGGGGACAGTGCAGAGGGAGCTTTACTCTGTATCTAACTCCGTGCTGTCCCTGTCCCTGGGAGTGTTTGATGGGGGGGACAGTGCAGAGGGAGCTTTACTCCTTATCTAACTCCGTGCTGTCCCTGGCCCTGGGAGTGTTTGATGGGGGGGACAGTGCAGAGGGAGCTTTACTCCTTATCTAACCCTGTGCTGTCCCTGGCCCTGGGAGTGTTTGATGGGGGGGACAGTGCAGAGGGAGCTTTACTCTGTATCTAACCCCGTGCTGTCCCTGTCCTGGGAGTGTTTGATGGGGGACAGTGCAGAGGGAGCTTTACTCTGTATCTAACCCCGTGCTGTCCCTGTCCTGGGAGTGTTTGATGGAGGGGACAGTGCAGAGGGAGCTTTACTCTGTATCTAACTCCGTGCTGTCCCTGTCCCTGGGAGTGTTTGATGGGGGGGACAGTGCAGAGGGAGCTTTACTCCTTATCTAACCCTGTGCTGTCCCTGGTCCTGGGAGTGTTTGATGGGGGGGATACAATGATGTGAATCATTTCTTTTTTCTTTCTTTCTTCATTCACGGGATGAGGGCGTCACTGGCCAGGGCAGCATTTATGGCCCATCCTTAGTTGCCCAGAGGGCAGTTAGGAGACAACCACATTGCTGTGGGTCTGGAGTCACATGTAGGCCAGACCAGGTAAGGATGGACAGTTTCCTTCCCTAAAGGGCATCAGTGAACCAGATGGGCTTTCCCCGACAATCAAAAATGGATTCACGGCCATCATTAGTTTGTTAATTTCAAATTTTTCTTGAATTCAAATTCCGCCATCTGCTGTGGCGGGATTCAAACCCGGGTCCCCAGAACGTTACCCAGGTCTCTGGGTTAACAGTCCAGCGATAATACCACTGGGCCATCACCTCCCCTCTGTTTGGTGAATTACATTCAGCATGGGGAAATTCCTCCGATATCGAGTCTGCTCTCCATCGCCGCTGAACTGAATCCTCCATTCTTTTGTTCACCTCCATCTCCAGGCTCAGGTTTTCCTCCATCAGTTCCTCGATCCTCTGCCGATCTGCTTCCCGTTCCTGGGAACACCCGGAGGAGAAAGAGCAATGAGCTTCACTCTTGTGGAAATGAGTTTGTCGAGGGAACGGGTCTCCCTCCAGGGTCAACACATCCCTTCCATTTGTATCCTCCATTAACATCCTGGGTGTTACCATTAACCAGAAACTGAACTAGACCAGCTTTCTGAATACTTTGGCTCCGAGAGCAGGTCAGAGGTTGGGAATCCTGCTGTTGTCTCCCTGCTATGGGAAGGATGTTGTGAAACTTGAAAGGGTTCAGAAAAAGATTTACAAAGACGTTGGAGGGTTTGAGCTACAGGGAGAGGCTGAAATAGGCTGGGGCTATTTTCCCTGGAGCGTCGGAGGCTGAAGGATGACCTTATGGAGGTTTATAAAACCATGAGGGGCATGGATAGGGTGAATAGTCAAGGTCTTTTCCCCAGGGTGGGAGAGTCCAAAACTAGAAGGGCATAGGTTTAAGGTGAGAGGGGAAAGATTTAAAAGGGACCTGAGGGGCAACTTTTTCACACAGAGGGTGGTGTGTGTATGGAATGAGCTGCCAGAGGAAGTGGTGGAGGCTGGTACAATTACAACATTTAGAAGGCATTTGGATGGGTACACGAATAGGAAGGGTTTAGAGGGATAGGGGCCAAATGCTGGCAAATGGGACTAGATTAATTTTGGATAACAGGTCAGCATGGATGGGTTGGACCAAAGGGTCTGTTTCTGTGCTGTATGCCTCTGTGAGTACACTCCCCTCCTGACTCCTCCAAAGCCTGTCCCACCATCTCCAAGGCACAAGTCAGGAGTGTGAGGGAATACCCCCCACTTGCCCCTGGATGGGAGCAGCTCCAACAACACTCAAGAAGCTCGACACCATCCAGGACAAAGCAGCCCCCACTCGATTGGCACCACATCCACAAACATCCCACTCCCTCCACCCACCGACGCTCAGTTGCAGCAGTGTGTACCATCTACAAGATGCGCTGCAGAAACTCACCAGAGATCCTCAGGCAGCACCTTCCAAACCCATGACCCCTTCCATCTAGAAGGACAAGGGGCAGCAGATACAGGGGAACACCTCCCCCTGCACATTCCCCTCCGAGCCCCTCACCATCCTGACTTAGAAATATATCACTGTTCCTTCAGTGTCGCTGGGTCTCCGTCCCTAATGACACTGTGTGGGGGTTCCTACAGCACATTTACTGAGGTGGTTCAAGAAGGCAGCTCCTCACCCCCTTCTCCAGGGGGTAATTAGGTATGGGCAATAAACGCAGGGCTAACACTCTCATTTCCCCTGGGCAGGGGTTAGGGGAGGATGGGGTCCCTGAGGAATAATGGGGCAGCCTGAGTTGGAGCACCTGCCCCTCCTTACACCACCCCGCCACCTCACCCAGCCCATATCTCCATCTTGTCCTGACTCCCTGACCTAGATGGGACGATGACACACACACACACACAGAGACACACACTCACACACAGAGACACACACTCACACAGACAGGCACACACACACAGACAGACAGACACACAGACACAGACACACAGACACGCGCGCACACAGACAGACACGCACACAGACAGACAGACACACACACACACACACACACACACAGAGACAGACAGACACACACACAGAGACAGACAGACACACACAGACAGACAGACACACACACACACACGGAGACAGACAGACTGACACACACACACACACACGGAGACAGACAGACTGACACACACACACACACACGGAGACAGACAGA